GTACCCTACACTCCTCCCCAAAGTGCCCTCACCGAATCGAACGATATCGCCGATGGGTAGGCCTATGGCAGTGGCTGGCGAAAAAAATCGGAGCGGATCCGCGGAGCTGACAGCTAATCCGAATTTTGGGAATTAACTGCGGTGAACGGAGACTGCAGAAACAAATATCCAAGATCCAAGTGCCCATTGTGTTAACACAATGACAAGACGTTGTTTTGATGGTCTCCGTCAACGCGTTTAATCAAATCTTCCCCAGTCATGAGACCAGGTATGTCCCGAGCGGAGGGAGCTCCATCGGGAGAGGACAGGTGGGATTGGTCTGGACCGTCTGGGTTCCGAGCCCGACCCCAGTTGGGGTAGGTAAGGTGGATAGGGGGGGGGGGAGACAAAGCAAGTGTGACTTCTAACCTCACTTGTCATGTTCAAAATTCGAAGAAACTAGCTTGGGCTGAAATTTGAGCCGGTTATGCTACTCGTACACTGCAGGGTATATCCAGAAGACGCAGAGGGGCCGGCTACCGATAAACACGACGTAATTTGAACGCGCAAATCCGTTTCTCTGGCTTTGGCGCCACCAAGTCTGGGCTGGATCTAGCCCCAGGCAGGCGCCGAGGCCTAAACGCCGGGTCTCCTCCCGTGTTTATAGCTCTGACACTTCCAAACAGCATGTGCCACCTCTCCTACTTTACTCACCACTTCTCTGCATCTTGATGATGATTGATGTTGCCTAATTTCATACAAAAAACGCACAGAATTGAAATAAAACAACAACACGCACAGTCAAATAATCCTTTCGGACAGGCCTCCACTGCACTATGACCACAACACCAGTGTTGTCGGGTGTACTCTCCAGCCTCCAGCAGACGACCGTTCCTCTAGCTTCTTGACTAGAAACCAGTTTTTCTCAAGTTGTAAGAGGAACAAGGCATGTAACAGATGGCAAACACCCAACGGATAAGATTTGAAGCCAAGAGGTGGGTCTATTTGGATAGTTTCTTCTTGTCGGAAGGTTGCCCAACTTTTCTCCAAAAATACCACACCTTCTCTCTCTTACACACGCATAACTTCGATATTTGTAAGACCGAGTCGTTATTCGTACGCAGTCTCGGTTTTATCCAAAGCGGCGCGCGCACTCTGCCGGCGAGTATTTCAAACTTTTCTAAAGTTTCAAACTCATTCGCAGCGTAGCGCAACGTAGCTACTTTTAGAAATTTTTTAAGAGAAGACTTTGAAAGAAGTTGTTGGATGCAATAAATCGTTAAGTTTATTTTAAAATTTCGAATAAAACAATTTGCATTTTAATGGTTTGAAATTATCTTAATTTAGTTACAAATATCATCTCAGTAATAAATAAAAATAATACATTTTGTAAAATTTTATTCTATAATTCACCAATTAATTTAATAATGACACACCTCTTTACTTTACAACATATAATAACTGAGATCCAACTGGATTACTCTTTCCATTGACAGCAACTTCCACTTTTCCTGTAGTAACATCAGCTTGAAATTCTGCACTAGATGGTATGAGCTCCTTTCCAGCCAATGGACTGTTCAAATTAGGTATGGTGCGTGGGCCCATCTCAGGATCTATGTATCGATATAGTTCAACTGTTTGAGTACCTAAGAAATAAAGACAAAATATGATACAGTATGAGTAAACATATCATGCACAGAACTTAGTCTGTTTCACTGGCTAAAGTAAATACCTTTTATGCCCTTGTCCATCTTGATGATGCGCAAAGCAACTTTTTCAGCCGTATCCTTATCATAGATCGGCACATTATGGGTAAATAACCCATTGTGGCAGGTGGGATTGATGAAAGTCAAGTTAACACCTGGCTTTGTTCCAAAAGTCATATAGGGAACACCAGGACAACATTCTTCACGCACATTTTCTGGTGCTTCATCACAATCAGCTGGTTTGATAACTACCTCATCCAACTGGAACAAATCCGATTAACAGGAAACATAAGGGAGGCAAAAATAAAACCAACAGTGAAGAAAGTATTCAATGAAAAAGGTAGTTGGTACGCACATCCAATGTAGAAGCCAGATAGTGAACATTCTTACAAAGGACTTCAGTTTCATCGAAATCTAGAGTGAGGTTCAAGGCTTTCAGTCCAATTGTCTCAACCTTTTCTCTTGTGGCTTGAACAAAAGGCATGACACGTTTCATGTATTTCTTTAGTTCTGGTTTGCTTTGAAGTTCCACAGAAATTACTTTGTTGTCAGGAAGACCTCCATTAGACTAGGAAGGAAAGAAAAATATGAGAGCCATAATTGTAGTACAATCAGAATAGCAACGAATTTGAAAAGAAAAATACGCTTACGTCATGCAATTTCTTCATTGTTGTTAGAACAGTGCTTTGCCAAGGTGGAAATATTTTGGCTACAAAGATAACGCCAACAGTCGGCTTTTGAGGTGTCACTGGAGGTGCTGTTGTTTTGCCTTTGCCTTTTTTCAATTGATTCGCAATGAAGTTTTTCAGCAAAATACGGAAAGAATGAGCAGCTTCAATCAAATATGCTGATGACTTCACAAGAATTTCATCTACAGCCCCTCCAGTGGGCCACCTAGCAGTCACAATGCTGTGGTTCTGAGAATTTTGTAAAAATGAACAATATTGCTGATTCATCTCAAAACAAGTTGGTAAAAGGTACGCGATAAGACAAGCTACATACTTTGCCTAACAATTGATAAACATGTTCAGATACATGTGGACAAATTGGAGATAGAATCAGAGCCTGTGTTTCAATGTATTGGAGAACCAAGTTCAGATGCATGCCACCATCAAATGCAGTAAGTTCTCTGTACTTGTCTCGAGCTGCTTGAAACTCAAAGAAGCAGGTACGAAGTGCTTCTTTAAATAGCATACGACTGTAGTTTTCTTCTGATTCACTGATTTTCAAATTTATTTCACTGGAAAAATAAAGATTTAATTTTGTAATTTATGCCAAGTTACAGTATACACTTAGCTTTGAAGACGGAAAGTAACAGACAGACGAAGGAAACATGTCAAGGTACACTTTTGTATACATACCTCTTAAAAACCTTATCATTGAATGTGTCATCTGGACCAGTTCGCAGAGAGTCTTTAGTAGCAAGAATTTCTTTCACCCATTCAATAAATGTATAAAGACGGAGAATACCTACAAAGACATTACTTCCTCATCTCAATGTTCTAGTAAACCAGTGAACATATAACAGCAGTAAAACCTTACCAGCATCTGCCATACTCTCCACAAAATTTGCATCTTCCACAGAGTCACCTGCATCAGCTAAACACAGTCTCATACCATCAGCACTGAATTTACGGACAGCATCAGAGAGAGTCAGGAAATTTCCATCAGACTTTGACATCTGCAGAGAAGAGAATATTAAATTAAAATAATTACATATTGAAATAACTTCTACTTAGTATTCATGTTGACTTGATTGATGAACCTTTGCAGAATTTAGAAGAAGATGTCCATTGGCTCGAACACCTTTGGGCCATTTGCTATTGTCCTCAGGCCACATGGCGCAGTGGTTGAAGAGGAAAAAGCTAAGATGGTTTTGAATAAGATCTTTTCCTGATACGCGGAGATCAACAGGATACCAAAATTCAAATTCTCGGCGCATGACATCTAAGTGTTCCTTAGGAATACCACTTGCTTTGGGATAAACATCTTTCCTCAAAAATATGTAGTCCCAAACTTCAGGGGTCATCTGTTCAGGCCTAAATTAGAGTTTAAAAAAATATTAGAGGATTCAGGAAAAGTAACTTCTACCATCAAACATGACATTTAAAAAAAATATTGTTTCTATACTTGATTCCCATTTTATTTCCATTTTCTCCACGGAAAGTGCCTTCCTGAAGAAAATGAGCCACAGTATAGAAAGCCATGTAAATAGTAGAGTCAGATAAAGACTCTATGAGCCACTGCTCATCCCATGGAAGTTTAGTACCTAAACATTCAGAAAAACGAACAACAGTAGTAATATAAAGGACACATACAGTATCATACAATGCAAATAAGACAATAAAATCAATAAATGACTTAAAACCCACCAAGGCCATATGTCCTAGAACAAGCATATTCATGTAGCCAACTGAGAGTTGCTGTGAAATTTCTTCTCACTTCCTCATGATAGGTGTTCATATCATCAAGGCACTTCTTTGCTTGAGCTTTCCAGTCTTCATTTTTATAATCAAGATACCACTGGTTACATAGGGCAACAACACATTCATCTCCGGACCTAGAAATTGAATGAGGTATACCAACTCAATTTTCAGACAAAATACGGTTGGTAGGTTTCTGTATACAGACCAATATGTAGAGCTAAAACTTATTTACCTCGATATGATAGTTTTTTCTGGTTCATGGTAAATGATAGCATCTCCTGCATCAGCCAGTAGTTTTTGAACATCTTTTTTCACATCTTGCACTTTCTTCCCTGTGAAGGGTCCAGCACACATTACCTAACGCAAATGCAGAAGTTTATCCACCTCATACACAAAAACTAATCAGAGATAAGTTGGACATTAAATACACAAGTGCATGCATACCCCTTCATAAAAGCCCCTGAGGTATGACTGTTCCTTAGCCTCCAGTAGTTTTTCCTTGTCATTTTGGCTCTGAATCTTGAGTTTGTCATATAAAAAGACAGCACACATATTTCCCAAATCAGGAATCTCAATAACAGGTATCTGTGAGAAAATTTAAGAAACAAACATGAACAACAACAGGGACACAAATATGAGACTAGCCAAAATTGAAAACAAACTAAGAGTAAATTTAAGAATTACCGGTTCATAAGGAAGAATCATGTCATCACTGATTAAATACTTCTCACGGAAAGGTTGTTTCTTTTTCAGATCCATAAATGCAGCATAATCATCTGGAGAGTCTGAAGGAACACTAGTAACAACACCTGTGCCTTTATCTTCCTTGATAGTCAGCATTGGTAGTGTATAGATAATTTTATTGGAGGTGAGAGGAGCATTAAGTGCCAAACCCATAATATCCTAGAAAGAAAAGTCTCTGTTAGCAATACTTTCAAAACACAAATTCAGTAGATGTTCAAATGGTCTAAAAATACCAAATGTATTAGGAGAAAATAACAACCTGCCCCAACAGTTCTGCAATAATTTCAACTTTTCCTTCAGTAGGAGTGTATCCTTGGTAAGACATGTTCCGAGCAGCTCTTTCTGTGCAGATAAAAATATCACCAGCAGGGAGACTTGTTTGGAAAGCAATATAGCGCATGTCTGGTCGAACCCAACAGTTAGTCTGCCCATACATAGTTTCAGGCCGAAGGGTGGCAGCTACTAGAAAAATAGGTTTACTGCCCACCTTCCTGAAACAAGAAATTCTCTCAAATTTATTACTTAGAATTTATAGAAATTTTTAGCACTTTCTTAAAAATGACTTACTTGAGCTTCTCAGGGACCTTTCCAGCAACTTTCATCTTCACAAGCGTGTACTCCGTAGGACCAACCCCTTCACCTGAGCTACGGTCATGGTCCATACAAGGTTGGTTGTCTTTGGGAGAGAAAATTGTGTGTCTTTTGCCATAGAAGATCTTTCCTCTTTCTTTCAGGCGGATAAATTGCCACCTAACAAAGGAGTCAAAGAATGGATTGGCATCCGTAGTTATGAAGGTGCGACGCCAATCAACCTATGATTGTGAATAAAGGAAATTTAATAAAAATGTTTCAAGCATAAGATAAGTTTTTCGAACAGCAACAAAACCCTTGTACTTACGTGTACACCAATACTGCGAAGGTCTGCAATAGCAAGTGGTGGAAAGTAATCAAGCCAATGAGCAGCATCAGCAAACTGTTTTATTTCTTCATCATCAAGACCAAGACTTTGCATAATTTGCCATTGATATTTAGCAGATCCAGTTTTAGCAACAGCCTTGCTCTAAAATTAAACAAAAATTGTGACTTACTGTTGTTTAGCAAGTTATCTAAAGACCAAATGAACCATACCTTTTTTCCTTTGCTTTTATCTTTAATTATAAGATCCTCCTTGGATTCAGCAGTTTTTGTGGATGTATTATCATCAATAGGAAACTGAGGAGGATAACCAAAGGTTTCTATTTCTCTTTTTAATTTATCAGAACAAGCCTTGATAGGCATTCCCGTACAATGAAATCCAAAGGGGAACAAAACTTTCTTCCCCTTCATTCTTTGAAACCTTACTGCAAACTGTAATAAAGTAAAAAAAATACTTTAAAAGTGTATGCAAAACATATTAAAATAATGAAATCGACTTAGATATATTATCTTTGAAAAAATTGCTCTAAATTTGATGTAGGAGTTTTAAGCTACTACCACTCACCTCGCATTTTGATAGCGAGAAGGTGTGTCCAAGATGAAGACGTCCGTTCATGTACGGGAATGGAAATGTCACAAGGAACTTCTCATCAGGACTCTTCTTGGGAGATACGGGAGCATCAGCCTCATGAACTTTTTCTTTTTCCCACTTTTCTTGCACATCTTTCTCAATTTTCTGGAGGTATTCTACCTTAAAGGTACCTTTCCTATCCAGATTTCCTGCCTGAAAAATAATTGATGATACAGAAAATACACCATAGATGGACAGGGATATGAAATTTCCTCCATTCATAAACAAAATCTGTAAAAATCATTCAACTATTGCAATATTAAGGGGCACCACACGGCCAAGACCGGCACCTACCCAAAACCTTTCAGAAATGGGGACGACTCTTTGTCACAAATAATTTCAATTTTCATAAGAATACATCAAATTTGGCTTGCAGGATTGGTATAATAAGTCAAATGTAATGACAAGCTATGATCAAAGAAAACTTCACAAATGTAGCAGCATGACAAGCCAGGTTACGTCAGCCAGATGCACTACTTTAACAACACATTAAATGAAATGCGATACGCCAAAGTACGTCAAGCCATATTTACAGCTGGTACCTAGTTCAATACCTACCATTGCAGCAGGATAATCAATTTCAGTACTTGAGTCCTAATATGTTACACGTGTGGCCAGGATAAACACTGTACTGTACTGCGTATACGTATACAGGCGTATACACAGTCCACTGTACTGTGTATACACAGATGTCATTATTTACAGGCAACCGTCCACTATTCACAGAACCAGTTTGTTTTCGTTCGTTCCTTCGTTTACGTTCCACACAAAAAGTAACAGACGACGTACTGTTGCGAATTTCTGTTGAGCGTTAGAATTCAATCATTCGATATGCAAAGATTTCAATCAATTATTACAGTATGAACTTTACATACCGTATAGCAGCATTTTGTCTCTTTATGTCATCTATTATAGGTATATGCGGTGTGCAGCAAGAAAATGGTAAGTTCAGATGTATCTGGAGGTTAAGGAACAACAAATACTTCTGTCCATTTTTTATTAATAAATTTAAGTGATTTTACTGCAGTTGGCCCGCCATCCGTTTCACCCAACGTGACAGGTTCAGCTTCACAAACTAGAGATGTGGGTTTGGGCTCAAAATATGATTTTATTTAAATAGCTGGAATAACCTCTTTTACTTCCTTATTCAAATCTTCTATATTACAGGAAAGTCAAAATAAATCCTGCCCATCAAACACATTGTGCAGTGAGCTACCAGCACATTGCCTTGATTGTTCGACGCTGAAAACGCTGAATGATAGCTGCGTCTATGGAAGAACTTACAACATTACTTGTACTGCCACAGAGGGCTGTCTAGTGAGTAGCTGAGTATATGATGTAAGATAAGATAAGAATGCTAAGGAAAACTCTACTTCACGAATATTGCTAATTTCTTTCCTTTTCTTCACAGGGAGATAGAATCCTAAAAAAGAGTATGGTCTGTCGTTACTGTTATCAAACTGATCATTGGGAGCACACCTGTACTCAAAAGGCCAATTGCAACTCTGTTGCTTCACCCAAAGCTTACTATAGGTTAGCCAGAATTTCCAAATGGAAATAATCAGCATAAGTTTAAGAATTTTAAAAAATTCTCTTTTTAACCTACATTATACTTTTTCAGAACTAATTGCTCTGTAAAGGACAATGTAATCTGCTTGGGCAAAAGGAAATTCTTTAAAAATCTACCATGCAACTGGACAGGTGGATATCGCTGGAGCACAGCCCTCGCATTAAGTATCACCCTTGGCGGCTTTGGTGCTGATAGGTAAGCTTAAAACCTTCCTAACTGAAGAAACTTTGTATTTTTTTCTAATTGTATAAATTATTTTTTCTAGGTTTTATTTAGGTCATTGGCAAGAAGGAATTGGCAAGTTGTTCAGCTTTGGAGGACTTGGAGTCTGGACTTTAATTGATGTCATCTTAATTGCTCTTCATTATCTTGGGCCAGCTGATGGTTCATTGTACTTGTGATTTGTTTTGTTAAGTCTGTTGTCTAGAAAGCTGCTAGAGTCAGATGGTGAAAAAAACTACTCCAGGGGAAGATAATGATATGTAAATATCCCAAAATTTGCATTATATTCGTCACATTTTCTTTAATGCACAGCTATTTACGTTAAATTCTCTAATTATTGCCATCTCTGTTATAAAATAAGCTGTATTAATCTTCCCCTTACTTAACCCTACTGCAGCAGAAAGGGCATTTCATTCATAATTCAATCTCTTGATTATCGTTTATAACATCAAAGAATTTGTTGAATGTTCAAATGGTACCTTGCTAGAGCTAAGGAAGTTTTGGCTCAAACGAGGGTTTTGTTTTTAACATGTTGAGTGTGATGGGATGGGTCACACACCATGGCATAGCGTAAATGGTAGCAGTGCTCAGTGGAATCAACCTCTTGTACATACCTTCCATCCTTTGCAATCATATTATGTAGTAGATCTAATGTCTGTGATACAGTATGAAATAGGCAACTATATAGTTTTCTTCTTTTTATACATTGGCCAATTTTTCCAATTTTGTGTGGAAACTATTGTACAGTTAACAAATAATTCATTAAAATTCCACTGTGTATCTGCTGCTTGGCATCTATAATATGACTTGTTTAAGTTTCATGAGGTAACTTCTGCCGCTAAAGGAAATTGCTTCATTCTTGCTCACAAAAATAATCTTTCACCATTATTTACTGCTATCTAAATTGAAAATGTATTCATAGTACTTCAACTTGTTGACTGACAAGTGTTTTCTTGTGGGGTTTTTAGTTTATAACTGCATCAGTCCGGATTTTCAGATTTCATATTGGCTGTGATACCTCTAGTTCAGATAATTAAAACTGAAAATAGAAAAAATTAATCAGACTTCCATTTTTAGTACTTTTTCTGACCTTACACACCATTTTCTGCATTAACCATTGCATTAAAATATGTGTGCATTACTAATAAAAGAGCACTCAAAAGTACGCAACCCAGCTAGCATATCAATCCAAACTCCAAATATAGTAATTTGTTTGTAAGACATACAGGACACAGAACTACTAAGGTTAGAATTCTTGGTATTTGTTTTATTGTTTATTAATAATTTAATGGAGGCATATTCTATACGGTTTGAGAGGATTGCTTCAAAACTAGAACAGTAAGACACCAGGCATTTTTGAAGCTGTGCTGTACACAGTATTATAGTTGTAAAGGGCTGGAGACATCACATGGTGTAAACAATCAATTTCACAAATATGTGCATGCCAAATCTTATCAAACAATCTTGGCAATATGATCATAAACTAGGAAAATAAATACAATTATACAAAAATCAAAACTTTTGGAGTTAAAAATAAAAGTGAAGAAATTAAAGGTCACACACTGGACACCAATAGTTACAAGCATCAGTTCATGTAGAACATGACAAATATAATGACTTTGGTATATAGTATCCATCCACGTTTTTGGATTTGATGTTCAATTAAGAATTAACTTGTAACAAAATTTGGGCTCTCTTGCATTTCTCTCAGTTGCACATAAGGCTAGAATTTCAAACTATTTTGGCACAACAAAGATACAATGAAGCCAGAAACTCCAAAAGAAAGGATAACACGTTGATATGTTACAAAGTTACAATTTACATCATTTTAGGAGATTCACTTGGATAGAGTGACAGTGTCTTTAACAATTTTGCAGACCAACCAAAAGGTGTATATAAACATTTGCTGGACAGCACTGTGCATTATTTTATGGCAAGTTAGGAATTGCCCTTGCACACCCAGCTTGAAAGGAAAGAAGTTCATTCATCTTTGGCTCATATACTACTGTTCCACTAGAGCAAAAGTAATCAAGATTCCTCTAAAAAGAAATCAAAACAAGAAACACAGGAGATACTTGTGTTCTCTTGTGTTGATCATGATCTGAAGTATAGATTTTTTGAGAATTTAAGTTTTCACACTCACATAATGGATTAGATGTTAATTAAAACATGTTTCGATATAGCTGCAACAACTCTTCTTGAATTGAGTACACTTTGTTTTTGATAGTTCAATCTCTGTGTAGATACAGATTTGGAGGGCAACACAATAATATGAATAGACCAGACAATATCAAATGGGAAAGTTAATGCTTTTCTTGTCCCACAACATTATAAGTGTGTCTAGTTTTGTCTTATAGTAATCAATTAAAAGTCAGGCAAATTATTTTAATCAGATGGAACTAGAATGTATACATTAGAAACGTAAAGAAATCAAACCATCTTTTAGCATTCCACAAACAGACCTACCAAGTAATGACCTTTGGTTGAAATACAATGAATACTTCACACTCACATAGAACAGTATGTAATAATAAATATTAGATAGATTCACATTTTAGACATTAGTGTGCATCAGGTAGCCAGTGCAACTTACATCATATGCTTACACATTGACAAAGCACCACTGTCAGTTTTAAACTATTTAAACATGGCACTTCAAATTATATATTTATCTGGAAAAAAAAATAATTTTACATCTTTCAAAAATACTAGAATCCCACCAGCAGCAGCTGCAGTCTTGTTTTAGCCAATGAAGCAGTAACCAAACATCTGCAAAGTCTACAGACCACAACCTACTTCTGAATTTCAAAATAAAAAACGAAAAAGAATGAAAAAACAGACAGCCTGCTTAGATCATGTTATCTTTACAAACAATGACCAGCAATAAAGGTTTTTGACATATTTGGTCCACACAAAAGAAAGGGGGGGGGGGGGGGGATGCAGCCATCCCTATGTCATATTCATTTCAAATATATACTGAGATATAATGGAATTCCATTACTGCTACAAAATTGGCCAACTATATTGACTGGTGGTTATTTTTACTCATATTGCACCTAAAATACCCACCATACATCGGAAGCCATACAACATTAACTCACAGCAGAATAATACTAAAGTAGCTACGAGAAAATAATTTTATCACAGCAATCAGAGCGATTCCAGATCAACAAAATTTTGCAGAGGAATATTCTACAAAATGTGAACTTAAGTGACACGACTAGCTCATAGTTTTAAATGAGCTATGTTAATTTGTGGCCATGTGTGGCCTACATTCCTCATTGAAAAATGCGACTCATCACTGGAATACATAGCTCTACTTATAGATCTATACAAAAATATATTTATTAATACTAGACTTAGCGTTCCAAAGAAACAATTTTTAATCATATGTGAAAAAAAATTAAAATAAAGAGGCCGATGGTCTTGGTTGCGCATTACTCGCCTGATCTTTCAACAAAACAATGGTAACAGATAAGAACACACAAAAAACTCCTATTTGACTCTTACAGAGGCAATGTACAAAAGGGTAAAGCTCAAAATCAAATAGATAGCAATACAATTAACCTACAAAATACACCTCTGTATTTACACAAAGTATTTAAGACAAAATTAAAAGGCCAGACATTTTTTTGAAAATTACCCATAATATATATGATCTTGGGCAGATTAAATCACAGAAAAAGCTGGTCAACTAATGTGCCACCAAGACCATGATAAATTTTAATAGATTAGATAAATGTTGGATATTGAAGAATGTCTTGTGATGTACTATGTTAGATGGTGAGAATCATAGGAAAATGGGCTCACAAAACCCTCACATGTGACAAGGGAAGCCCAGCTAACTTCACCTTCATCACTTTATATCAAGAAATACCTAAAACCTCACTTTCATAAAGTATACACACAGTAAACTGGAGTTTTGATTTTTTGGTACACAATGAAACAAATATGAAGCAACAGTCTCATTGCTGTGCTGTACTTTGAATCACAGAATTCATGAGAGAAGTGATAAGTTGGTTGGATGCTTTGGAGAAATAGCTAGGTAATGAATGGATACTCACTATCCCAAGACTAAGCCTGTACTAATGGATTATATATGGCTTCACAAAAACAAAGCATGTAAGGTTCAGTTAATGTGGTGAATAATTGATAAATGAGAACAATGCTTGTTTAGATGACCAGAGCAAGTATTTTCCTGATGATTTCCAGCAGGATGGATGAGATAAGGAAAAAATATTTCTTTCATACACAATTTCAAAATACTGCTGACTGACTTGCAGCATCATGAGAAATAGTAACATTTATCCCTAAATTGCCATTGTCAGCGAATAGTTGTGCAATTGTCGTATCAAATACTAAACAATCTGAATTTAGAATAGCTGTGCTGACACCCTCATGTATAGATCGAGGGGTGGCTTCCCAAGTTAGTTTCCTGCGAGTGCCATTTAATTCAAGCCTGGAAATTTTAAGAATTAAGTAAATGAGAAATGATAGAGGTAAAAATAGTTACATCAACAACATGGCAAATTTTAATGTAAATGCTTACTTGTATGTGAAACTTTCTGCTTGTTTTCTGGAGCCTATAAGCTGCACTATAGCAAAAAACTGTTGATGGCCATCAAATTTTTCTTGCTTTTCTAAAACAAGCATAAAGTGGTGTCCGTAACATGACTGCATCATCACCCAATCAACAGCCCCTGGAAGGTTTATATCTGTTGCAAGGAAGACTATGTCTTCACCTAAAAAGATTAAGTGTTGAGAATATAACAGCCATCAATAAAACAAATTTTAAATTTCATTTTTTTTTTTACACATACCTTGCAAAGTTGTGATGGATTTGTGAGATATCATAAGATGAGGCATAACTTGTTCTAATGACCCTTGCCACTTACAGGAAGCACCGGGGCAGGGGCAAGTGTATGGTCTGAACTCGCATGCTTCTTCATGCTCAGCTTTTTCAGTATGCAAAAGGCTAGCAGTACAACCTGATGTGGAATATTTGCATGGAAATGACACTGTTGTCGCTACCTTTTCCATTGCCAAATTTCGAATATTGCCTGGAAAGAAACACAATAAAAGTTAGATAAACGCAGTCAAACATGAACTCACAGGTAGCTACATAACATTATATAAATTGAACGATGTGGGAAGGTATATTATGTAACTTACCCAAAGGTCCACGGCAAGTTGGACAGCACGTAAGCTTTGGCCTGCAGTTGGAGCAGGCCAAGTGGCCCGCTTGACATTGAAATATAGGGGGGAGGACATAGTCAAAACACACTGGACACTCAAATAAACTGGCAAGATCTGATGTGGCCTGAGGGGGATGTGTTGTGTGAGAAGAGTGATTCATTGCATGACCGGTTCCAGAATTGGTACTAAGAGAACCCGTTTGCAATGAACCTGCAGAGGCAGAGTTAGACAATATTCCTCGCCTCTTGGGCACCTCCATTCTCCGGAGAAAATAAGAGCTGAAAAGAAAAAAAACAAAGTTATTAGACTTGATAATATTGGTGGCACTGAGTTTCAGAGAAAATAATGAACATCCGATCTGAACCAAAATTAAACAATAATAAAATAGACATTCTAGTTAAAATAATACAAAAGTTCAAATTGTTCCCAGAGAAAATTAATTGGCTAATTAACATCAACAACAGGAGTTTACACAATAAATGGCAACTGATGTTATAGTGTGGAAACTTAAGTTATTTCATAGAGGCTTTCATTAAAAAAGAAAATAGAAAGGAAAATATCGATTAACTGAGAACATAAAGTGAAATACCTACGAAGATTTGAGATTGTTGTTTTATACATAAGAAAATATTAAGAACAGTAAGGTTATGGGCGTCATTGATGAAAAAAGTCTCTCTCATTTTGGTTTACCTCCAGCAGCAGCAGTCAGCTGTAGATGAATGAAACGGAGGACGGAGGTTCGCGAGTACCTTCCGATCGAATGCCCGTTAGGTACGCCATAAATTATGACAGTTTTGCAAGCATCACTCACAAATCCGTAACTACTAAACTGGCAATAATAGTCCGATGGCGAGCGACTCGACTACGTCACACAACATGGGCAGGGGAAAAGGGGGGGGGAGGAATGGGGGAAGAAGCATGGAGTTGTGAGACGGGGGAGGGTGGTGGCGTTTCCACAACGCTAACCAATCCATGGTTTCCAGTGTGGCGCACAAATTCAAACGCGGGCGCAGGCATAGCAGCAGCACGAAGCAGCAAGAGCCAGTGCTTTTCTCTGGGCAGTTCGCCGTAATTGAAAAGTATGTACCGCTGAACAAGTGAGCCAAAGTGTGGTGCAGCCGCGCCATGTTTCAGATACGTACATTGAAAGTATTGACAAAAGTGGTCAAAAGCGATG